CCTTCCTGGATACCATATAGTAAATGCTGTTCTTTAAATGGTTCTTAATGGCAGTTATTTCCTGAACTGTTGAATTAATCATTAACAAAGGTCTATTCCAACATCTCTCACTGTCCTGGGAGTTAAACCTGTAACTGTCTGTGTGTTTGTGTAGACAGCACCTTAAATACAAGGCTGTTAAATCCCATATAGTGTTTTGCACATAATACGTTCATAATACTTAATTTTGGTTTAGTGATCTCTGGGGTAACAATATTATTGGTGGAGATGGTCACTGACAGTTCTTGGTTCCATAGTTTTCCATGCTCACTGTAAACACCAGCTCAATCCACAGAAGCATGGAAAGGTCAAGTAACTTGTAGCCAGTCACACAGCCAGTATTCAAGCCCAGATTGTCTGTGCCAGAGCATTCAACTCTCCTTGGTAGTACTCTGGAATTACTCTGTTGTGCATAAAAATTTCAGGCTTTGATAAATATTATAGCTTACCTTGCCTATTTAAAACTTAGGACACTGTTTTGATTATTCAATCAGAAAAAACATATTCTCTGAAAGCCCCGTAGGATGAAAATGCAGCAAGGCCTGATACCATCAGCCTTTCACTTGCTAATGGATTTTCACCTCTAGCTGTGCTCACCTGCCTGGACAAGTAGGATGAGAGGAGGCAGTGACTACTAGTCATTAGTGTTTTACACATAGTGGCTGTGTCATAATTGTTAAGTAAAGATAGTCACAAATATGCTCTTGGCCTTTGGACATTTCATGGCATATTTAGACTAATCCCAAGTATTATACTGGAGACTTACGTATTTTAAGAAGTTATGCTTATAGTATACATTAAAAGACTAATTCAGTTGATAGAGAAAATGAGATTTTTGGAATAGCAGTACTTTGAAGCTTTAAGTTCTTAGAAGCCTTGTCTTTTTTTTTTTGGTCTTTTTTTTTTTAAGACTTTTTCATTGATTTTTAGAGAGAGAGGAAGGGAGAGGGAGAAACATCAATCGGCTGCCTCCTGCACACCCCCTACCGAGGGATCTAGCCTGGAACCGAGGCATGTGCCCTGACCCGGAAAGGCAACCTTTTGGTGTATGGGATGATGCCCAGACAACTGAGCCACACTGGCCAGGGTGAAGAAGCCTTTGTTTTCTTTACAGGGATGTAGATTCAGTTCTAAAATTGTCGATTTATTTTTGTTCAGGCCGCTTCATAGTTCAGAATGTTTCTGCACAGAAAGATGGAGAAAAATCTAGAGTGAAAGTGAAAGTGCGAGTCAACACCCATGGCATTTTCACCATCTCTACAGCGTCTATGGTGGAGAAAGTCCCTGCCGAAGACAGTGAATTGCCTTCTGTTGAAGCGGATATAGAGTGTCAGAGCCAGAGACCTCCAGAAAACCCAGACACTGAGGTAAGTTTGTGGATGAGCCTTTGAGTTTGAATACAGAATTGACTTAATCCTAAATTATAGGAGAAGGGTTGAAATAGATTTTGCTTAATTTGGATTAGCATTTTGGATAATGATGATAGTTAGCAATTGCTATATAATGTTAATATACAGCCTGGAACATGGTGAAGTATGATTAACCTGTGTAGCTTAATTTGAACTGGCATATGACAATTTAATTGGAGTAAAGTTTCTTTGAGTTATTTTTTTTAAAGACAGAAACATCATATTGCGAAGTCAAATGTTGACTGGTGATTAAGGGGGGGAAAAACTACTATAAAAACTTTGGTGAAATATAGACCAAATATTAATGCTGATTTTAAAAAAATTTTTTTTTTTGAATGTCAAAATTGGCTTTGGTAATTTATAACTTACTTGCTTTTATTTTCATGGTTTGCTATATTGTAGGAGGAAGAAAGAGTAGTGTCTTTCTGGAACATAGAAAGTTGTTACTACTCATGTTCTTAATTTAGACTTCCTTTAGCATGAGTGTTAGTATTATGTGATCAACAGAGGAACATTAAGAAACTTTAAAATAGATCAGCTATTAAATTTACTTCTGAGTAATAATCAGAAATAGCTTAAATGAGGAGGCAGGCAGTACAGTGTTTTCATTAAGATGTGAGAGTAGTGGTCAGAGATCTCTATTTCTAGAACAAGTAAGAAACGTTAACGTCTGGGCTTTAGTGTTGTTCTCATCTAGAAAAACTTTAGTGTAATTAATAGAATGACCAGGGCCATGTGCTTTCTCATTTGGCTACAGACACCAGTTTTCTAATACCTGTTGTGTCAGTCTGTTAGGACCTTCTGGACATATCAGTAGTGCCTGGCTTCTGAACACTTCAGTGTCAATGTGTCTGCCTTAGAATCTCAAAGCTCTGACAGAAAAACATGAGAGACTTGTGGGTGGGCAGGGAAGATTGAGGTCACTACCGTGTAGCGTATAATCTTTATGCTGAGGTCATTTGGTTGTAACTAGTCAGACCACAAGCGATGGGGACAGAGGGTCTGCATGCCCATGAGTTTTCACGATGAGCCTCAGAATACTGATGGTTGGCTCTCATGTAATTGTTCAGTTCACTGAAATGGATATATGTCCACATGCATGATGGCTCCTGGTGAAATTAGGTTTTGTAAGCTTGTTTCTGGGACAGGCCTGGAGTAAACCTATTTCCTTTGCTTTCGAGATAGTTGATATCTGTACAAGGGTAGGTAGAAGTTTCTTAGAAGAGAGTTATTGTCATCACATCAATCCAAATGCCTACTATTTGTGTTACTTAACTATATTAAGTGCTGTCATTCAAATAATTTTTTATAGATTTAAAATTTCTAAGAAGTTTTCAGATATTTTGTGTTCATTTTGCTTATATCCAGTGTCTTTCCCCACTTGTTAAGATTTTAGAAATTGAGCGTACTATCTCGGGTACCCTGTAACCTTTACATTTATCCAGTACACCTGCTTTCTACATCCTTTGTGCCTGGGCTTTCATTTCAGAAAAATGTCCAGCAAGACAGCAGTGAAGCTGGAACACAGCCCCAGGTACAAACTGATGGTCAACAGACCTCACAGTCTCCCCCTTCACCTGAACTTACCTCAGAAGAGAACAAAACCCCAGATGCTGACAAAGTGAGTGATGCTTCTAGTTCATTCCATTGGACAATGTTGCAACATGTGATCATTAATAATATCATTAAACCTGCAGTTTCAAGAACAAGCACCAAATTGTTTTATTTAGTCTATGTAGGATTTTTTTTCCTCTTGATTTTCTATGTATTTTCAACTAAAACCAGTTGAAGGTACTCAAGCTCAACTAATGGAATTGAATATCCTGCTTTAGACCTGAAGGCTTCTCTTGGTTTACTGCCACACCAAGCAACAAGAGATGAACACATAGCGTTGGTTGTCTTCTCTAGTGCCAGAGGTACCTGCTAATTCGAAGAGCAGAAATAGATACATCCCAGGGCTGTGTGATTGGTTTCCACTTGAATTAGCCTCATGATAAATGCATGGGCTACAGGAGTCTAGTAAACTTTCTCCTCCTTTCAAATAACCTGTCAAATTTGAATAAATTAATTAGGATGATCTGTAAATAACCAGGTTGCTTTTCAAAGTAATTGTTCTTTTTCCCTGCTTCCACAGTATGTGTTGGAAGCTAAATTAAATAGTTGTGTTGTGTCCCTTTAAAAATGCTTTCCAATCAAATCTTTAAAATTCATGGTCAGGTGGATAATCTTTAAAATTCATGGTCAGGTTGTTTCTCCAGATCACTCTGCTTTGCAGAAGTTCATTCCTTATGCAAGTTGCATGTAAATTTTTAACCTTCCATTAGTGGTTTGGCTTTCTCATTGTGAGGGTAGAATTCTTTACCCTTGACAAATTACAGAATTGTTCACTGGGGTCAAAATAAGTTTTACACTTGGAGGAAGTTTCCAGTATTTAATGTCCGCGTGCTCTGATTGCTCCTGTGGGGGTCCTGATTTGAGTCGTAGGTCCTGGTTCTGGTTTCTGGAAGCTTTCCTCATTTTCTTCTGCTAGAGTTAATGATGCCAGTGGAGCAGCACTGCTTCCTTTGTGGTAACAGCTCCTTGGTTTCAGCATCACTCCCCTCACTTACCTTGAGCATTAACTGATGGTGCCAATGATACTGATACCTGTCTGGAACATGCCATTGGTAGCACCTCATGCTCTTAGCTGTAGGGGGAAGCACCAGCGTTGGGCCCTTTGGAACACCCTCACACACCCCCTTGGTGGGTTCCTTGTGCATGCCACATCGAATGCCATGTTGTGACATACTGGTTTTGTCAGTAGTTGGTTTAATGTTGTATTGCCAGATAGTCTTATCCTGACTTAACTGCCAGACACAGATTGTCATCCATTTGTTTCCCAAGTATCTGTTGCTCTCCAGTGTTTTGCTAAGTGTAGGTATCATCTGATCCATTTGTGTTTCTTGTGGTTCATGCCCCCAGAGCATGCATAGAATATTGGGGGGTTCTCCTGTGCACTAGAGGGAGGAAGACAGTGCAGACAGAGTGACTGAGTCATTGCTAGTGATTACAGCTTACAGCAGTTCAGAGATGTGGGATTTCTAAGGAGCACTGAAGTAGAAGTCTGGGAAACAAGAGTTCTCTTCCCATCTCTATCTTTGCAATTTTAGGCAAACCATCGAACCCTTTTCAAGTCCCATTTTTTTTCTATAAACTGCCTAGAATTTTAACATCCTTTATAGCTCCACAAAATTATCCATTGGCAGTGCTTGCTTTGATCTGTGGGCTGGATCTCTTCCTACTTTACCAAACCACCCAACCAGAGTGTGTGGTATACCCCGTTATCTTCTAGTCTGTTTTCTATATTGTGTTCTTCGTCACTTGTTCAAATGGGAACCTGCAGAAAGGAAATACACAGAAAAGGCTTGGAAAATTAAAGGCCGTAGGATATGCTTACTTTTTTAGCCCTGTATGTACATATTTTGAAAAACCTACAATAAATTCTTAGCACTAGCTGTGTCATTCTGTTTGCTATTTTAAGACTTTTTTATGTCTTGACCATGGGGAGTTGCTTATGAGAAGCGATACGACTCAGAGGCAGGTAGTAGGATATGTGTGTATATACAGACATGTAAGTGTGTGTGTGACCTCCAAATTCAGTAGGATGTTTTGAAAGGCACTCGTCAGTGTGGTGCTAATTGTAATTAAGGCAGGTATAATACTGGGACATAAGGACTTAGGTGTCTATATATTAAAGAGATAGGGCTGACCCTGACATTGCTAGCATTGGTTAGTCTATCTTCAGTTATTGTCAGGTTCTAGACTATAATATAAAGATGCAGCAATTTAATAATACTTCTGACCCTTCAAAGTCCATAAACATTGCTTAAAGGGATAAAAACATAAAGACCAATGGAGAAAAGCTTTAGCACGAGAGATTAAATTGAATATGCAAAGAAAGAAATGTCCTGGTGAATTCTCAAATGAGAGTGTGGCATGCTTACATGTCATTACAGCCCTGATTTAAAACAGGCGGGTGGAAGTCAGATGACCTTATACTCTCCCGACTTCACAGTTGCAGGGATTTTATTTTTGCCTGTGTCATCAAGTATGATAAGGAGTTTTATTTGTTTTGTTTTTCAAGGGTTATTTAAGAATTTTTTTTTTTTTTACCCACCTTCCCAAGGCAAATGAAAAGAAAGTTGACCAGCCTCCAGAAGCTAAAAAACCCAAAATCAAGGTAGTGAATGTGGAGCTGCCTGTTGAGGCCAACTTGGTCTGGCAGCTGGGGAGAGATCTGCTTAACATGTACATCGAAACAGAGGTAGGTAGTTTCAATAAATATTTTTATTTTGGAATATGTTTAGTTGTTTGAACACATTGCTCATATTTCTTCTAGGTAAATGACTATAATCCTTTTCAGTATCCCAGGTTTTACCCAGTTTTAGAGATAGGATGAAACCAAAATCAGTGGCTTTTCAGTTTTATTTTTTTTATTGATTGAAACATCAACTTGTTACACTTGTTTATGCATTCATTGGTTGATTTTTGTATGTGTCCTGACTGGGGATTGAACCTGAAACCTTGGTGCATCAGGGTGATTCTCCAACCAACTGAGCTACCTGGCCAGGGCTTAGTTTAATTTTTTTTAACAAATTCTGTTTGTTTTTGCATCCTTGTGAAAAAAGAGATCTATACCATTCTGCTTGGTATAAAATTGATTGCCCAAGTCCTTGTGAAGAAATTGGATGCCAGTATTTACAATGTAATTGGTATTTCAGCCCACACTGAATATTTCTGTTAAAACATGCTTTTCTATAGTCTAGAGTGTGTAAATAATTAAAATTCAGTTTTTCTGTACTCGAATGGGAACATTGTGTTTAGAAATTTATTTAACAATAGATATAAGTAAATGGGCTATAATTAATTTATCCTTGATTTTTAAATGTGGCAGAGTGGTCTAATCATTATCTGTTGGCCAATATTAACCCCAATATGAGAAAGCCATATAACTCCATAAAAGAAAACAATATAAAATCTATGGAATGATTTCTTTTCTTAGTATTAAATCTCAAATGAGAAAGCTATGGAATTTTTTATATAATGTTAGAAAATGAAGAACTTTGTCGGGTTTGTTATAAGAGTTTTATGAGGTATAATTTAGAACTGTTAACACTAATTTTTTTGGTATAATTCGTTACAGGAAACAGAAGGCTGAAATTAACCTTTTCTGTTTCCTCATAGGGTAAGATGATAATGCAGGATAAATTGGAGAAGGAAAGAAACGATGCTAAAAATGCAGTGGAGGAATATGTGTATGAGTTCCGGGACAAGCTGTGTGGACCATATGAAAAATTCATCTGTGAGCAGGTATGTTTACAGCCCAGTTTTTGTCCAGCTATAAAGTGTTTAATATCAAACTTAACATTTGAATCTCTACTAGATTATGTAATGAGCCTTTTGGAAACAAAACAACTTGAAATGGAAATTGTATAAACAAAGTCCTAGAGAGAGGCTCACTAATGATGTGCAGTTTTGTTCTATCTAGTTTATACCAATGACTCTTTGGTTTTTATCATCCAAAAGAAAAATCCAGTCAAATTCAGTCTGTGACATTCACAGAGGCTATAAAGATAAATAGAAAATCCTTGCTTTCAAAGACCTCAGAAAAGTTTTTTATGACTTGTTTGCTCTTATTGTTTATCCCAAAAAACTGGTTTACCCAGTCCAAAGTTTGTCAGCCCCCATTTCCCTTAGCCCTTGTCTAAGCTTCCAAAGCCAGTAGGATTCTGAGTAAATTCCAGAAGCACAACTGTGAAAGATGGAACTTGGAAAAAAATTGGCTAGATAGAGATCTAGGATGGTTGAAGGATTAATTCTGAAGTTAAAAGAATTTAAACTTAGGAGTCTATTTTAGTCCTGTGATTCTTGTGGTATTTCAGTTCTTGGCTCTGCCCTAACATTTCCTAGATTGGTTATGGTGGCGATTCTGAGGTAGAGATAGCCCAGACCAGGCTAGACCTCCTCCAGCTAGAGTAGCGGTACGTAGTTTGTACAAATTGAGTAGGAATAAGTTTTTCATGTGTTCAGTGCATGACTGGTCAGCTTGTCTAGTTTCCCTTTCAGTACTCAACAGTTGTGGAAGTGATTAGAAAGGTTCTAATCACTCCCTAGTTATTTTGAAGAGTGGGAAGGTAATTGTTCTTCCATGCCCAGGTTTCAGTGTGGAAACTGTCCATAATTGGACTTCTAAGATACAGTGTTGTAAGTCAGTAAGAATGATTCACCAAAAATTCCCAAATGTCCCAGTGTAAAAGAGAAGCCAAAGAATAACTGTCAATCCCACGTGTGAAATACTGTATGGGGCTGGTAGTAGAGTATATTGCTCCTTGATACTTTTTAGTGAAGGGAATCCAGTTGATCCAAGTGCCTTCCTAGAATTAAGAGCAGATACTTGGTGTTTTAACATTTCTGACTGACTTTCCGCCACGTTGGTTCTCATGTTTCACATACAGGACCATCAAAAATTTTTGCAGCTGCTCACAGAGACTGAGGACTGGCTCTATGAGGAAGGAGAGGACCAAGTGAAACAAGCCTATGTGGACAAACTGGAAGAATTAATGGTAGGCCCTTCTTTCCCCTCTGGAAGCAATGCCTGTGCTTTAGACATAGACTTTTAAAATATGATTATGGCAATAACTAATTTTTTACATTTGTTTTAGAAAATTGGCACTCCAGTTAAAGTTCGATTTCAAGAAGCTGAGGAACGGCCAAAAGCATTTGAAGAACTAGGCCAGAGGCTGCAGCACTATGCCAAGATAGCAGCCGACTTCAGGAAGAGTGTAAGTCATCATGCAATGGAAGAGGGGATCGTAGGTTTTAATAAGCTGGTATTGAAGTTGAGGAACCTTAATGGTGAACAGATGATGTTCTTAAATGAGAAACTTGTTTTTGGTATTTGAGACCAGAGGTAGATTTGAACTTCATAGAAAATTTTGTCAAGTCAGTTGTCACTGTTAAATACTTTATTCTACTGCATGGGCATTGCTTTTTTATTCAGGATGAGAAATACAGTCATATTGATGAGTCTGAAATGAAGAAGGTCGAGAAGTCAGTGAAGGAAGTGATGGAGTGGATGAATAACATCATGAACGCCCAGGGTAGAAAGAGTCTGGACCAGGATCCAGTTGTACGTGCTCAGGAAATTAAAGCAAAAATAAAGGTGAGTGTTGTTATCTATTCATTGCTGTGTTTTCTTAGGGGCCCAAGTTGTAATCACTTAAACCCTAAACATGGCCATTTTTCCTATAAATTTTTCACCTCTTCCTGACCAAAATCAGATTTCTTGGTTAATTATTGATATCACAAAATTTAGAAGACTATAAGTTTCTATAAAATTTCCTTTTATTCATTCAGTTCAACAAATGCATTTGTTGAGCCCCTGCCATGTGCCAGTCATTGTGCCAGGTAGCTAAACTTCCAGTGTACAAAGGAAGTCACTGCCTGTGGAAGTCACCTGCTAGTATGAGGAAGACTTGACAATAAACACATATGGCAATATATGAGATGGCTCATAAAGTGCTGATGGTACAAAGAGTCAGAAGGGGTTAGGAAACTCTGGACAGTGGAGAGGCCCAGGTTAGGGTTTTGTCAGGGAAGGCCTTGCCAAGTGCATGAGGCTTGAAGCGAGTTGGGGGGAAAAATACCCAAGGAACTGCTTTCTGTCTGGAAGAATATTCAGACACCTTGAAGATTAACGAAACGTGAGCTTTTGAAGTCAGCGGGCTTCAGTGAATTCCAGCTCTTTGGTTTTTTTGATCTTGAGGCAAAGTTACTTTACCTCTCTGAACCATTTCCCCCTTCCATCAGTGGGGATCATAATTCCTAGATTTTAATACTGTCACAAGGAGTATAATGTGTGACTACCTAGCAAGTCCCTGAGACATCATCGGAGAACATTCGCTTCTCTTCCATCAGGTTTCAAGCTGTAGTTTTAAGCAAATATAAGGAGTAAATGGGATTCTTTGAGATATGTATAACTGGAGTTGGTAGAAAAGTATTGGTTCAAGTATGTCAGAAAGTAATTGAAAATGAGTGGGTCTGAGTCAATCTGATTACTAGTTTTGTTTTCCTTTCTTAGGAGTTGAATAACACCTGTGAACCTGTTGTAACACAACCCAAACCAAAAATTGAGTCACCGAAACTGGAAAGAACTCCAAATGGCCCAAATACTGATAAAAAGGAAGACGATTTAGATCAAGGCAAAAATAATTTCAGTGCTGAACCTCCACATCAGAATGGTGAATGTTACCCTAACGAGAAGAGTTCCATTAATATGGACTTGGACTAGATAACATTAAATTGGCTCCAATTAATAAAATATTTTTGCTGTAGTATGTGACTCTATATAACATACTAAGACTATTTATATTTTCTTTTTTAAGGATGTTTAGAACTTTTGTGTACTATATGAAAAAAGAAAAAGCTTAAGTCTGTAGTCTTTATGATCCTAAAAGGGAAAATTGCCTTGGTAACTTTCAGATTCCTGTGGAATTGTGAATTCATACTAAGCTTCTGTGCAGTATTACCATTTGCATCACTGAGGATGAAATTGATTTGTCTTTTGGAGAAGCTAAAACAAACTGTACTGCTTGTTCAAGAGGGTCGTGGGTAAAATTGTTAAGCATTTGTTCCTGCCAAGGTAGTTTTCTTGCATCTTGCTCTCCATTTCAGCATGTGTGTGGATGTTTATAAACAAGACAGTCTGATTTCACAAGGGCTTTCTAAAATTCTGTTCAATAGAAGATGACTTTTTGCTTTGATATTAAAATTCATTGAGTAATGCAAACGCTAGTGAAATGTGTTAGCAGCATGCAGAACAAATCTTTCAAATGTATCTCTTGTTACACAGTACACTGTCATGTGAAGGTGTCAAAGGGAAGAAATGTGGGTTCTGTGTGTTACTGGTATTGTGAAGCCTTTTATGAGCTTTAAAATAAAGTTCATCTTATGGTGTCATTTCTAAACGGTTTTGTCACTGACTTAAAAGTAGATTAGGGAAGAGTGGTATAAACTATTACAGCAGAAATGAAGTCACTGTGAAAACTACTGTTTCTCTTTTACTGCTGCTTACATCTGCTGTCACTTTTCTAAACGAAAGTGACTTTCTACTGATAGAAAAGTAGCATGTCTTTATCATATTTAAAATTTTTAAACTGTAAAGTTGAATATAATTTATAATCTACCACCTGAAAAAAGCATTGACTCCTGTTGCATATCCTTGAAGCCTTCTCCTAATGACAGATGTGTGTGTCAGTGTGGATATTATATTATGGTGTATACACTGCTTTTTAAAACTATCCCAAGCAAATAAGTGAATACAAGGGTGGGTACGGTGGTTCATAAGGAAGAAGACATGCAGGTTATGACTGTTACAGCTTTATTAACTGCCTACTTTTGCCCACCCCATATAATTAGGTGTTCAAACTCTACTGCTGTGGTGAGTTCCGTGAAATTAAAGACACATAAACTATTTTAACTGATCCCCATATTGGTGGATTTAGGTGTTTCCCAAGTTTTTGCTATTCTAAATTATGCTGCAAAAAACCTTATCTGGCTTTTATTTTCCAAGGAGGAGATTGAAGTAAAGTAGTGTTGGGGCTGGGCTGAAGAGAAGACAGCAGGGGGAATAACAGGTAACCACAAGTTTAATACCCCATGATCACAGGGGAAGTATTGGAGTTGGGAACAAACTTGGACACTTGAATGTTAACTAGCCTACACTCCAAGCAGCCATTCTGCACTCAGTGACACCTTCATTTCTGTGTCTAGTGTGGACTTAAACATTTTAAATTTGTTTGCCTCTGTATTTCATGAACTGAATATTTTATGCATTCTCATTTGTAATGTTGAATGTTGATTTTATAACGTTAAGGATCTTAACCATTTGTCAATATTCAAACATTCTCCCACTTTGTAATTTTAACTCTTATCATTTAGAAGCCTTGAATTTTGTAATCTGTCTCTTATGGTTTTTCTTGTGCTCTCTAATGCACACTAATATATACTCAATAGGTGTAAATGTACCTGTTGAGAGGTGATGATAGATCTCTCTGTAGAGTTGGGAAGCACATAAATGAAAGTTTTAAAAAGTATGAATGAGAAAGTGAGTTTTTCCTACCCCAAAATAGTACCTGATGATAATGGGGATAGTAGCAATCAGGCCTAAACCAGTTTGTTTTTATCAAAGGTTAGAAATTTTTGATAGCTTTTTCTGTAAAGATGGAGCAGTATTTCAAAAGAGGCTCAACTGACTATAATTTGCAGACCTTAGAATTGCATTTTTGGATGTAAGACAAAAAATATTGACTATTTTATTACAATATTGGCTTACACAATTGTGATATATATAGACCAATTTGGATAAATGCTCTGCCAAAGGACTGAATTTTAATTTACACATAAATTGTCACTATGACAATACTTCCAGCTGTGGTGTAGAGTGGGCCCCTTAATTCTTACTCTACCTCATGACAGGTAGCAGTGTGGTATGGCGGAAAGAGTAGCTTTGGGGGAAGACAAGATTTGCAAGGGTCCTTACAGCTGGCCCCACCCCTCACCGCAAGCACTGTGATTTTTATGCAGATCAGCTTGTCTGAACCTCCATGTCATCCTATCCTAGTCTAGGTAACATGACCTGGACTGATTGCTGTGGATTCCTCTATGGCAAGGTTTCCCACCTCAGCATTTAGACATTTTGGGTGGGGGTGCAGGGGGCTGCCATGTGCCTATCTGGCCTCTCATTAGATGCCCCTGATGTGACAACTGAAGATGACCCCTGCCCCTTGAGAAGTGCTGCTCTAGGGAAAGTGACTTTGAATTTCAAAATTATACACGGAGTAAATGCCTTAATGCCTTCCAGCGACCCTGCACTGGGCCAGGTGCTCTCACTCAGGTTTCACAGTAATCCTTAGGCTATTATTTCCTGTTTTATAGTGGAAAAATAGGGTGAAAGTCTGACCAAGTTCAAAGGTCAATCAGAACATGGATCTGACAGACTCCAAAGCCTCTCTCCTCTCTATGGTAGCAGAGTGGTAAAAGTGTGCGCTGACCCAGGTGTAAAAAACTTTTCATTGGAAACTGGGAGGACTCAGAATCTGCTCTCTGAAATTATTAATAAAATCCAGCCCTGGGGTGACAGATGGGGACAAACAAGCCATGCACAGCCTGTTGGAGAACTGGTTGCTCTCTCGTGTCCCCCCAAGGCACCTGAGTTACATGCAACCTCTCCTCAATGTTCAGCCTCACCTGCTCATGTGGGAGCACAGAAACCCATTTGTATTATTTTGTTTATAGCTCAAGTGTCTAGCGCAGGGTCCTCCCTTCTGTCCATCTGGTGCTGCCTAGTTCTTGCCCCATTGACCCTGCTGTTTCCCACTTGGGACCCTCCTGAAGATCTGCCAAGAATTAACTACGTGCCACCCAGAGGTTTTTTTTTAGCCCATAATGAATTTCAAACACCATTCCTCACAGAAACTAAAGTTCCGTGACACAAAGACCTCTTTGGAAGAGCAGAGTTGGAGATAGAAGTCTATAGGTGGCCAATCCAGGTTTTGGTTTGTTTCATGGTGGTGAGGGAGGGCACGCAGAGGGCTGGTAGTCTTCACTGGCCAGTGGGAGCAGGTCTTTGAGCCGGGGCCTCTCAGGCGACCAACTCTGGACTGGAGTGCACACAGGTCATGTCTTATAAGGTGCATAATTTCCTACACAAGCGAATAACAGCGACTATTTCAAGAGGAGAGGTTGGAGTGGGATACCAGTTTTGTCAACCAAGCAGAGCAGTCACTCAGTCTGAGGCTATTCTCTTGCAGTTGGCTGGAGAGCCCTGGGCTTGAAGAGGGGAGGAGGGTCCCTGCTGACTGTGATGAGCCTCTCCCAAGAAGCCACAGATGATGGAGCAGAACTGTGACTTCTGGTGGGGAAGGAGTGACCCCCAGGGGTCACTGGGCACCCATACCCTCTTTCCCTGGCCACAGCAGCCCCATCCAACCTCCTACCCTCAGGTGTACAAGTATGTGCCATTGTACACCATACCTATATGCATGCACACCCCCGTATATACCATCCCACCCCCCCACACCTGACTCTTCCCCCTGCCCAGGCCTCCATCTCCCCAGGAATCCCAGCCAAACCTCCTGAAAGCTTCCTGTTATCTCCCGCAGGGAACTCCCTGTATGTCTCTCCTGTGTTGTAAAGCATTACTTTATCATGATCTGTTTATAATTCACTCTCCCACTAGACTGTGTGCTACTTGAGGACAAGAATGTTTTCTGAATCCTATTTGTGTTCCCAGAGCTTCACACACAGCCTGGCACATAAATGAAATGTTAATTGAATGAACGGATGAAGTAATTAATGGATAGGCACTGGCCAGATCCACACTCTTGAGAAGGAAAACCTTAGTGTCTGTATCTCCTGTGGCTGCGGTAACAATAACCACACATTGGGTGGCTTAAAACAATAGAAATTTATTGTCTCACACATTTGGAGGCTAGAAGCCTGAAATAAAGGTGTTGGCAAGGTCATGCTTCATCTGAGGGCTCCAGGGGAGGATCCTTCCTACTTCATCCAGCTCCTGGTGGCTCCAGGTGTCCCTTGGCTTGTGGCCATATCTCTGTTCCTCATATTCCTTTCCCCTTATGTGCCCCGATACATCCTCTTATAAGGACACTTGGGATGGCATTTAGGGCCCACCAGAATAACCCAAGAGATCTCACCTCATGGTCCTGAACTTAACACATCTCCACTTCCCACTGAGGTCACATTCACAGGTTCCAGAGATTAGAACTTGTTATCTTTGGTTTGGTGCCCTTCTGAGCCCACTACCATGCTCCATGGTGGGTGAAAAAAATACTGCCTCCATCTTTCTTGCAATGTTTTCCTGTCTGTGTTATACCAGAGAGAAAACCCCAGACAAAATGTTGCTTTGCTGTTGTCTAGGAAAATTAAACCAGTAATTAAAAGTTTTTAAGCCTTTAGCAATATCTCCGATGATGATAATAAAGGTGCACAAAAATGACATCTTTCTTTGGGGGAGTCGCCGCAATGAGAGGGAGAAGTGAAAGGGGAGTCCAGTTTCAGCATGGGTCGTAGGGGAAGGTCACGTATGTCAAACCAGCCAAATTATTTCGGACTAGCATCTAAATTACAAAATATCCTCTTTGGGGTCTGGAGATAGAAAGAGAGGAGGATGGGCCCAGGTTTAATTTGAGCTCAGAAAGGGCAGGGGATAGTATGAGAAATGGAAGTTAGAAGATGGCCTCAGGGAGGTGCCCTGGAGTAGCCTGGGTTCAGGTAGGACAGAGTAGCCTCCAGAGTCTAGAAGAATGATCTTGCCCCAGAGGCATCTGGCCAAGCTTCCAGGAACTGTAGCCAGCCTCCCCTAATCACCCGGAGTGGAAAAAAGACCACAGGCTCTCTATAATGGATCCGTACCTTCTACCAAAACATCCTAAAGAGGCAAACAAATTATGCTCTGAGGGTTAGCCCAGCAGTGCTACTCTGAATCATAATACACAGTAGAGGAGACAGTTCCATTCCTCTAACGCCACTGATTAGAGACCAGGATCTTGACTAGACTTCCTTACTCATGTCTGGGTCACTTACACGAGACCGGGAAGCCTCCTGGGGGTAAGAATTGGGGAAAGACCCTGCTCATGCTCTGAGCCTGCAGTAACCCCACTGGAGCTCAATGGAGCTTTCTGAGGGACTACCATGCATCTCGGCTTACCAAAAAATGGCACCTTGGTTCCATTTTCCATTGTTTGTAGTTATGTGTCTCCCCCTGAATTCTCACTGGGGAGAAGGAGTCATTGGTAGGACAGATTCAGACTCTCCTGGGTCTCTTGCTCCAAATCCCATCCAGTTCCATCCTTCCTGCCACCTCCCACCCACAGTCTCCTCAGCGATGGCAAGCAAGGCCTCATGCCGTCCTTTATGTGTAAAGGGAAAGAAAGCAGGTGCAGGA